AAAAATTTTCCCCCTTTTTTTGTGAGGAGTCTCTACGTGGGGCTCAAACTCACAACCCCGAGATCAAGAGTTGCATGCTCCGCCAACTGAACCAGCCAGGTGCCCCTAAACCTTAGCTTGTAAAACATAATTACCCTTAAGCTTATTATAAGACACTGTTGATTTTCACCATCATAATTTAAATGTTATAACCTAATGCCCAGAGCTTGGTTTCTAATACTACTAATACTAATAATTTCTCCTACTTCTTTTTTTTTTAAAGATTTTATTTATTTGACACAGAGAGAGAGAGAGAGCACAAGTAGGCAGAATGGCAGGCAGAGAGAGAGGGAGAAGCAGGCTCTCCACTGAGCAGGGAGCCCAATGTGGGACTCGATCCCAGGACCCTGGGATCATGACCTGAGCCGAAGGCAGCCGCTTAACCAACTGAGCCACCCAGGCGCCCCCAAAATAATACCACAGGATGTTTAAGATATCATCTTAACACTTACTTCAAGACCAATACAGTTAGTTTGCTTTAGTAACTGTTTTTGTTTTGTTTTACTTTTTTATTGTTATGTTAATCACCATACATTACATCATTAGTTTTTGACGTAGTGTTCCATGATTCATTGTTTGTGCATTCTCCTACTTCTAATACCACTCTCCAATGAGAGGAACCAGGGCTTTTTGGAAAAACAGCCAATACCAAGGCTAGGACAGGAAAAGTACAAGATGAGCCTGGAGTACCTTGTGGTGCCAGAAATTAAGGCAGTGCTCAAAGAATGATGGGAAAATAACCACAAAGACACAGGAGCCAACACAAAGGGACTCCCAAGAGCCAAATTTGGGGCAATTTGGGCACAAAAGTAATTAAAGCTACTGATAGATCATTCCCCACTGGATAAAATGCCTGGGTCTGTGGTGATTTAAATAATTTAAAAACTAATGAATAGGGAGGAGGGAACGCTCTTTATTACAGTAGCATTCCAAATAATAAGTGAAGCAGGAATGATAATGGAAAAAGCGACATTCGACAAACATCCCAGTAAGAACTGCTGCAGTCAAGAATCACCAAGGGATTAGGAAGGGAAAAAGGAAGGGGGGGAAATTGGAGGGGGAGACGAACCATGAGAGACTATGAACTCTGAGAAACAAACTGAGGGTTTTAGAGGGGAGGGGGGTGGGGGATGGGTTAGCCCGGCGATGGGTATTAAGGAGGGCACGTACCGAATGGAGCACGGGGTGTTATACAAAAACAATGAATCATTTCTACACTACATCAAAATCTAATGATATAATGTACGGTGATTAACATAACATAATAATAAAAAAAAAGAATCACCAAGGGAGGCTAGAATTAGTCAGTGAAAGTTTGATGAGGAACAGAATATTTAGAGAGTCTCAAAGTAGCATGCCTCATGATCCTTATTAATTACAAAGAGGAAAATAGTGTGTAGGGAAGAAATGCGGCAGACATTGCCTTAACTAAGTAATCCAAATTAGCATCAGTAATGGGACAAATTGACAAGCCTGCGCCTCCTAATATAAAAACACACCATTATGACTGTTGTGTTTCTGGCCCAAAATGGAACACCTGAAATTCCATGATGTGGTAACATCAGACAAACCCGAGCTGAGGGAAATTCTACAGAATAACTGGCCAGTGCCCTTCAAAAAAGGTGAAGGTCATAACAGACAAAGACAGGAACTGTTCCAGAATAAAGGAGGTTAAGGAGATTTAAGGAAACACAACATGTGCTCCCAGATCAGATCCTGGTCCAGAAAAAGAACATTAATGGGACAACTGATGAAATTTAGATAAGGATTCTAGATTAGTTAATAATATTACATCAATGTTAATTTCCTGATTTTGATCATTGTACTGGGTGTGTTTATATTAAATGTTAACGCTGGGGAAGGGTATACACATCTTGCTCCTCTTACAGTGGAGTTATGCCCTGATAAACCCATTGTAAGTTGAAAATATTGTAAATCAAAAATGCATTTACTACACCTAACCTATCAAATATTATAGCTCAGCCTACCTTACACATGCTCAGAACACTTACATGAGCCTACAGTTGGGCAAAGTCATCTAATGCAAAGCCTATTGTGTAATCAAGTGTTGAATATCTCATGTAATGTATCCAATACCGTACTGAAAGTGAAAAACCAGGATGGTTGTCAGCGTATGGGTTGTCTACCCTCAGGATGGCGTGGCCGACTGCGGCTTGCTGCCGCCACCCAGCATCACGAGAGAGGACCATACCTTACGCTGCTAGCCTGGGAAAAGATCAAAATCCAAAATTCCAAGTACACTTTCTACCAAATGTGTACCGCTTTCACACCATCATAAAGTTGAAAAATTGTAAGTCGGACCGTTGTAAGTCGGGAACCATCCGTCCTGAGAAGTTGGAGAGAGAAAACCAGAGTCGGGAGGCAGGACAGACAGGAGGGTGGTGTCCCAGAAGCCAAAGGAATAGAGTCAAAAGAACAGAGTGACAAATAATATCAAATGCAATAGGGAGGACGGTTATAGGCCAAAAATAGCGTCCATTAGATCTGGCCAGAGAACAGTCAATGGTGTTGTCCAAGCCAAGCTATTTTGGCACAACTGTGGGTGAAGACAGACCACAGTGAGTGAGGAGGCTAATAGCAAGTGAGCAAGCAAGTATGAACAACCCAAGAAACCGGGGCTGTGACTGAAAAAGATTTAAAAAAAACCAAAAGATTGTGTTTGTTTAGTTGAGAGAGAGCAGGGGCAGGAGCAGAGGGGGAACGAATCTCAGCAGTCTCTGTGCTGTGCGCGGAGCCTGACGCAGGGCTCGATCCTGCGACCCTGAGATCATGACCCGAGCCAAAACCAAGAGTCCGATGCTTAACCGACTGAGTCACCCAGGCGCCCCCCCTGGAAAAGAATTTTTTTTTACTAAACAGTTTATTTTTAAAAATTCTAAGGAAGCAGAAAGCAACCTCCATGAGCCATGTGGGATTTTGAAAGTTCTAGAAATCAGTCTATATAGCAGACTATTTGCAACAATATCAGAAGGCTATAAAAAATGGAAGACGAGGACAGTAGGCAGCTGGTAGAAAATTAAGCCCTGCAAATAAAAGTTTAACGGTCATTAAGAAGACCCTGATATAGACATGGAACATTAGCACAGAGATTTAATGAGGGAAATTCTGGGTGACTGGTGGCTGACAATTTTCAGATGAACAGATACAGAATTTTGGAAGAGTTCAATAAGAATACATGGTCCTATAATAGCACCCAGCCTTACTTGTTATAAGCTCATTTCTTTGTTCCAACTAAAGCCAGCACGCGTGACTTACAACAGCAGTTAACTTGCTATAGACATTCCTGTCCTAAAATGTTTTACAAAATCAGATTTTTCTAAGAACCTCATGGAAATTTTTCTGAGAACATGAGGTATGACATCAAGAGAGGGCTTTAAACATGCTCATTCATTCATTCACTCAATTATTCATTTACTTATTTATTTTTAGGATGAGAGAAACTTGAGTTTGTATAGGCCTCAGGGGAAAGACTAGAAGGAAGGACAAAAGCTATGGAGAATAAAAGTAGCCATTGGACAGACGGAAGAGAGTGAAGGAAACAAAGGATGAAGCACATCAGTCCCTCCCACCCACATCTACGTGTGTCTACCCTTCTGGAGTAAGGATGATGAGGTTGAATGGGAACAGATGTTCAGAACACTACTGAGGGGAATAAGAGGGGATGCTGACCAAGGCCTCGTGAAGGATTGTGGAGGGGTGTTTAGGGCCCAGTAGAGACCTGGGCCCATGAATCCATGGAGGAACCAATCTCCACGGTTGTGGGACTTTCTCCGGCGGCACTCTGCAGCCTAGCAGGGGTAGATAAAACGGGCTGTGGGGTTGAGCCACACTGTGGCTTTGCCATCTTGGCAAAGCAGAATTAAGAAGGGTACAAAGGACCTTCAGCAGTTGGGGAGAGAGTGATGGGATCCAAACGGAAGGGGGAGGTAAGGGAAGCCAGGAGCAGAGTGGTGGAATAGGAGGTCGCCCACGAGTCTGCAGCACAATTCTGCTAGGCAGGGTGGCCAGGGACAACTGGAGAGGAAGAAAATTGTGGCCAGAGAACGGGATACAGCAGGGAAGGGCTGCCCTCAAGGCGTCCCCCACCCAGGCCCTCTACCACTGCAGGGGGACTATACGTTCCAGTTTGCCCAGGACTGTTATCCCAGCAACTTGTCCAATTTAGCATTTGTCCCGGAGTTTTCATTTTCCCACCAGGTGTTAGTATTAATCACCGAATCGACCTAAGCCAGGATGGGTCTGGGGGACCACCACTTTTTAATTCCAGCTTCTGCCTTGGTCTCGCCCGCTAGCTTGCGTGGTGCAGAGAGAGAGAAGCAAATTCTCCCTTTAACACAGACTTAAACCTAAATGGCAACCAGTGATAACCCTTCCCCTTTGTCTAATCTTTTCCAAATACAATGTAACCCTCTCAAGGACAGCATGCTGGGTGTTCACAGATAACAAAGCAAGTGCGCTCGGACGTTAGAAGTTCCAGACAACGGACTCATTCTTGTCCCGGGCAGGGACGAGAGGGAGGACTCACCACTGTGCCCCTTGCCGGACACCTGGGTGTCCCGGTGGGATGCGCCGGCCAGCTGTGCCCATGCGAAAGCCCACGACATAGCAGGAAGCTGCCCAGCCACGAGTGGGTAGCCCAGTGGATGCAGTAAATTCCCTCCTTAGGTGTACGTAAAATGTATTTAGAAAACGGAGGCTGGGGCAATCCTGCCGTAGAACACAGTAAGTAATCTGAATGCTCTCGGTACAATGGTCGTGTCATTCACTATATGGTGCAAATCTACGACCCGTGACTTTTTTAAAAATTTGCAATCCACCCTTTAGGCATGGGAGTTCAAACACTGAAGTGCAAAATTAGTGAAAAATTAAATACCACATCTGTTATTCAAGAAAATTGATCATGACTGTGTAACATGAACAAAACACTTGTCGACACTTACCATCCACGTGCACGAAAACCGGACAACATAAATCCCCAGAGACGGCATCAGCATCTCCCTCGAAGGTCTGTAGGTATTTTGAGAAGACGGTGCCCAAAGAAGATGATTTAATGGGGTGCGGCTGCACAGAAGGCATTTACATACTGCTCTGTGAATGAGTTGTTTAGATCAAATGACTTTTCCTCAAGATTCATTTGCTCGTTTTGATTCCGAGTGGCCCGTACATGAGGAAAAGCGTAGTGATAGCTTTAAAGAAGTAGCTCTGTTAGCAGACTTCAGTTAAATGATGCTGGTTATACGATGCCATCTAGATCATTAGAGGCTTCAAAGAGAAAACCAGTTGTATTAGGGTTCTCCAGGGAAACAGAACTAACAGGATGTGTGTATGAGAGAGACAGAAAGGGGGGAGAGGGATGGGGAGAAGAGAAAGAGGGAGAAAACTAAAGAGAGCGAGAGAGGTTTATTTTAAGGAATTGGCTCACGATTGTGGAGGCCTGACGAGTCCAAAATCTGATGGGAGAGGCCAGCAGGCGGGACACTCAGGGCGGAGGGGCAGCTCCAACCCAAAGGCGGTCGGCGGGCCGAATTCCTTCTTGCTCCGGGGAGGTCGGCCTTTTGCTCTATTCAGGCCTTCAAATGATTGGATGAGGCCCACCCACATTGGGGAGGGTAATCTGCTTTAGTCAAAGTCCACTGATTTAAATGTTAATCTCATCCAAAAAACACCTTCACAGAAACATCCAGAATGTTTGTCCAAATTATCTGGGCACTGTAGCCCGGCCGAAGTGACACATAAAATTAACCATCACATTAGTTAATTCCAATACTAGTTCAGTTTTCATCCAGTTCGTGGAGTCAAAGCAAAGCTTAGAGAAATTTATTCTGATGAAGGTGGAAATAATCCAAGATTACTGGGAAAGCTACTCTAAATTCAATTTAAAAAATTCAACGTTTAGGATAAGTAGTTTTGTGGTGATTATTTTTTTTTCACAGAAATACAACTTTTGGTGGTGCATAGCACCATGATAAAAAGCAGGTTCTTACTAAATGAAGAAACGTGGAGCAGAAATATACTCAAAATTGGTTGTGGTACATAAATAATTCATTATGTCCAAACAAGGAGACTACAGAATTGTTTCTGGAAAGGCAGGAGTTAGGAAGGGGAATGTTGGGTTACACCCATGCTTTCCTTATCTCTTCCTGCATGCAAATATTCTAGTAAAACAGTGGCATACCTAGCATATTTGACACCCAGAGTATTTTATTTATTTATTTTTTAAGATTTTATTTATTTATTTGAGAGAGAGAGAGACAGCGAGAGAGGGAACACAAGCAGGGGGAGCGGGAGAGGGAGAAGCAGGCCTCCCGCCGAGCAGGGAGCCCGATGCGGGGCTCGATCCCAGGACCCCGGGACCATGACCTGAGCTGAAGGCAGACGCTTAATGGACTGAGCGACCCAGGTACCTCAGAATAGATAATTTTTAATAAAAAAATGACAAAATTGGGGTGCCTGGGCGGCTCACTCGGTTAAGCGTCCAAATCTTGATTCCGGCTCATGATTTTAGGGTTGTGAGTTCGAGCCCCGAGTTGGGCTCTTGCTGGGTGCGGAGCTTGCTTGAGAGTCTCTCTCCCTATCCCTCTACCCCCCCACCCCTGCTGGCGTGCGCCTGCACACGTGCTCTCTCTCAAAAAAAATGACAATTATTTAGTCTATATGAAAATTTTATTTTCTATGAGTAATTATTTTCTTGATTTCTTTTTTGGATTTAAGACAATTTTAATGTTTCAATTTTTTTTTTAAAGTAGGCTCCACACCTAACATGGGGCTTGAACTCGCGACCCTGGGATCAAGAGTCGCATGCTTTATTTACTGATTGAGCCAGCCAGATGCCCCAACTGTTATGATTTTAAAATAACACATTTCGATTTTAAATATATTGTCCAAAATCAGGAAAATATTTCATATGCGAACCAGATTTCCACTTGCCAAACAAAAGTATTACATCTTGCTATTTGCTGTTTTAAATTTTAAACACGAACAAAAGCTCCAAGTTGTCATAGAATGACAGGACTGAAATAATAGTACTGTTTGTCTTTTTTTTTTTTTTTAAGATTTTATTTTTATTTATCTGAGAGAGAGAGAATGAGAGAGAGAGAACACCTGAGAGGGGATAGGGTCAGAGGACGAAGCAGACTCCCTGCCGAGCAGGAAGCCCGATGCGGGACTCGATCCAGGGACTCCAGGATCATGACCTGGGCCGAAGGCAGTCGCCTAACCGACTGAGCCACCCAGGCGCCCCAATAGTACTGTTTGTCTTTACAGTCACCAGGCTATCACTGTTTATTTCAAACCTCTGTGAGAATACAAGAGTATGTGCTACCACAGGGTTTGGAGAAAGATACTGCAAGCCACAAAGAAGGCGGCAGGGCTCTGGAAGTGTTGGATACCTAATTTATTTTTATTTATTTATTTATTTTTAAAGATTTTATTTATTTGAGAGAGAGAGAGAGAGAGTGCACGAGAGGGGGTAGGGTGAGAGGGAGAAGCAGACTCCCTGCCGAGCAGGGAGCCCGATGCGGGACTTGATCCTGGGACTCCAGGATCATGACCTGGGCCGAAGGCAGTCGCTTAACCAACTGAGCCACCCAGGTGCTCCCAGATACCTAATTTAGAAATAAATGGCTGGCTGGGGGGGGGCACGTTGGCCTGACTCTTGATCTCGGCTCAGGTCTTGATCTCAGGGTCCTGAGTTCAAGCCCTGCATGGGGTTCCACGCTGGGGGTGGAGCTTACTTAGACAAAAAAAAAAAAAAGAAACAAATGTAGCTGAGTCCACCTGTGCCAGGGGCCCAGTGCATAAACTGAACTGCTGTGAATTAACTCCTGGTGGAACACAATGTCCTTAAAAGGATAAGTAATAAAAATGTGCTGATAATGAACCTCAAAGTCTATATCCAAGAGAAATACATTCGTTTATGTACAAAATATGTATAGTGTTCATAGCAGCACTATTTGCAATAAACCAAAGCTGGAAACTGCCCAAATGTCCATCAATAGGAGAATGGATAAGAGGTCTTAGATGCTAGAAGGATAAATAGAGTGAAGAATTGTTTAAGGCAAAAATATGGAACACAGAGCATTGGTATTAACATTTTTTGAAGCAAGGACTAACTATACTAGGCACTCTTGCATTATTTTGTTTAATCCTCGCCATGCCCTGTGATGGAGATATTATCTTCATTTGACGTATAAGGAAACTGAGGCACACGGAGGTCAAGCATCCTGCTCAAGGTATAACACTACTTAGTGGTGAACTCGGGATTTCAACTCAGATCTTTCTCAATCTGAAGCCCACATGGACCTTTTCCCTTATAGTCTCTTATCGCTCCATGATAGATAGGGGAGGCAGAGAAACTCGGACACTATGGTATTCACACACTCATACGCGCTAAAATGATAACTGCTACTATTTCTTGAGCACCTACTAGGAGGCAAGTAGTATGCTGGGTGCTTTACATAAATGATTTTTACAATTCTCATAATAACCCTTCACAGCAAGAATTATTCTCATTTTTTTGATGAAGGCTCACAATGACTTGCCCAGTGTCACAAATCGCTTACCATCACATATCCCTCAGTGGCCCTAACAGAGGACACCTACTGTGTGCTGGGCACTGTGGTGGGGGCTGGAGCTGTAGGAACGTCTGGAATGGAACAACTGTTACTTGCTTACCTGATGTATGTGAGTAGGGGAAGATCCCTCGCCCAGTTCCATACAGGGATTTGTGGAGGCAAAAATAAAGATCAGTAACAGCAACAGTTCCCATTTACTGATTATGCAATGTCCTAGGTACATATACGTATGCACACACAGATACCATGTCTAATCCTCACAACGATCCTGTTAATATCCTCACTTTACTGAGACGAAAACAGAGGCTCAGTGAGTCTGATTCGCACAAGGTCACACGGCAGTTAGGTGTCCCCCGCCGGATCTGCACCCTGACCTGCTGACTCTGGGGCTCTAGGTCTGAACTCGCACACGCAGTTAAAAGTTTTTTTTGGTAGAACTGGGCCACCGGTCGGGAAAACGGAATCCGCAATGCGGTCCAAGGTCTTGGGAAGGGGACGCCCGGCGAGAGAAGCACGTGGTGACTGCAAGCGGAAGAGCCGGCGCCCAGTTTAGGGCCACTAGGAAGAAGCGAGGCAGCGGCAGGTTTGGGAATTCGGGAGCCCTCCGGCTGGGAGACGCAGGGAAAGCGGGACACAGGCTGCGCCCGAGGAGTCCCCGCTTCTTCCGGAGGAAAATTCCCCCCTCGCGAGCGTGGAAACCCGCCGGCGCCGGTGGAGGCGCCCGGTCGGTC